AAGCATTATCAGTAGTCTCTTCTGTTTGCATGTTTTTCTAAGAATCTGTTTTCTCCTTTTACATTTCCTGAGCTGTGGGAAGAGGTGGATGTGAGAGAGAGGCAGGAGGTTCTGGTTAAACAGCATGAGGGAGAGATTAATGTCATCAAATTCTCAGCAGGAGGTTTTGATTACTAGTTTTAAGAAATACTCAGTTTTTGCAAGACTGTGCCTTAGCCCCACAAATTTCACTGGTGATTCTGTTTTGATTTACAGTTCCCCTGATTTAAACTTTTCTTCTAAAGTCATTGTCTAAATCTCCTGTTCTGAAGTTTATTTCATGGCTGTTTCCACCACTCCTCCTCCTCCCTTGTGGTCTGGGGGGGAAAAAACAAATCAGGTTTTAAAGGAGTTAAGACAACATATTTTGGATTCCACTTTGGCACAGAGGGCAAAGAAGTTTTTAATGTTTCCTGAAGATTTGTAAATTCTTGGATTTTGTATATTTTCCTCCTGGCTTGCAGAAGCCCATTCTCCTGCCTTCTTAACCTTTATGCCTCCATGATGTCATTTTTGCTTGTGTGTACTTCAGAAATGCATGTGGATAAGACACACATTTCCCTAAGATTCCCTATGTTACAAATTAGAAACTGATGGTAAGTTGTAGCATTTTGTTCCAACAGACTAACTTTGTTTCTGAATTTTCAGGTGTCCCTTAAGAAGACAGAACTATGACTATGGCATACACCTGCTCACAGTTCTGTACCATGAGTCCTGGGTAAGCAGTTGTGCAGAACTCACACTGACACACACATGCTCTCTAATATGCTCTCTAGCATAACAAAGAAAATTATCTTACAATTTTTCTCCTTTTCCACCTCGCTTTGATTCAAATTCAACCAAGTTGCTTATGTGTGAATCTTAATTCCTGAGTCAACTTCAGTGCATTTTTCTAACTTCACCAGCTCTTCTGTTGTTTGTGTAGAGCTTGTCTCTAGTCAGAAGTTGACCTGGTTTTGACCTTCCTGAGAGTTTCTTTCCTAATACTTTGTTCCTCTCAACTGGAAGCCTAAAAGTGACCCCGAGCCTAGCAGGAAGCACCTTAATATTCAGGATTCCTAAACATACCTTTAGTTTGGCACCATGCTGGGCTGCCTGTGCACAATACTCAAACATAAGTTGAGTGCATCCAGAGAAATGGTGCATTCTCTTATTATCTCCTGTTATCTATGCATTTTTAACACTGACCACATGCAAAGGCAAAACCAAGTCTATTCCAGAAAAGCAGAGTTGCTGGCTTTAAAGCAACTCTCTCCTCACTCCTCCCCGAGTCTGGAGCTGCATAGGGTTCTATGTCCCAGGTGCAGGGCCTTATTGAACCTCATACAGTTGTCCTCAGCCTATTGATCAGGTCTGTCCAGGTCTGTCTGTAGAGCTTTCCTACCCTCAGGCAGATCCACACTCCCACCCAACTTAGTGTCCTCTGCAAATTTCCTGAGGGTGCACTCACTCCCCATGTGCAGATCACCAAGAAGGATGTTAAATAGGACCAGCCCCAATACTGAGCCCTGGGGAACACTCTTGGGAACTGTACTCTTTTGTATAAGTTGTACCTGATTGGCTACTAAAACTCTTACTGTTTTCAGTTATTCTGTAGTATTTAAATTAAATCTCCATATTTAGCATATTGATGAATTCATGTTTTTTATTTTGATCATTGCAGTGGTTAGGTTAAAAACGTACTCAGGAGGATGAGCTGTATTTCTCTTTCCGTTGAAGTTGCCTTGAAGGATACATTTTTTAATTCTAGTGTATCAAATTAAATTCATCATAAAATCATTTACTCTAGATTTCAAGTGCTTTGTACACCTGGATGTTTTTCTCCCCAACAGCATTACATTGCATTACAGATTGTAAATGAATGGCAGATCAGTTTCCAGCATTAAGCAATGACAAGAGAACTCAACACTGCTCACTTTATGAATTTCAGACAAACACCACGTCTGCCCTTTGCGCTGGCATTAATTAGTGATGGCAGACAGGGCTATACAATATTGCTATGTGAGTGTTCAGTGTGGATTGGATATGCACAAGTCTCTTGCCTTTTTATTACCTTTCAGCCTCTGTGTTAATATTTGATGAGTTCATCAATCAGTTGTAATTGTCTTTGATTTCCATAAAAAATTAATGGTTTCCTGAGAGATGTTTTTTATTTTGTGTGACAGGGTTTGTTTTGTGGCGTGTTTTTCTTCCTCATGATCAGTGGGAATGCCTTTTCATGACTTGCTGAAAGATGGTTTGGATCCGTTTTGTAAACTATAAGCAAACAATGTGGGGTTTAATTTAATTTGTACAAATGTTAATGTTGGAGGGAGATGGACAGGGACTGGCCTTCCTCTTAGACAGTCACAGCAATCCTGTTTGCAGGACTAATGGGGGGTTTGATGACTTTGTCAGCAGAGCAGTGCCACACTGTGTGTTAATGCTTGTGTGGGATTTAATTGAATGAAAAAATCAGGCAGTGATCCATTCTTGCTAAGTGAAGGGAAAGCTGACTGCGTGTAACTTTGGCCCTCAATTCTGAAAGCTTTGCCTGCTATCTCTCTAAACATGGCAGAGCTCTATAATTTGTTGGAGCAAGTCCAGAGGAGACCACAAAGTTGCTAAGAGGACTGGAGCATCTCCCCTGTGAGCACAGGCTGAGGAAGTTGGGACTGTTCAGCCTGGAGAAAAGAAGGTTGTGTGGAGACCTCGTAGTTATGTAACTTTGGCCCTCAATTCTGAAAGCTTTGCCTGCTATCTCTCTAAACATGGCAGAGCTCTATAATTTGTTGGAGCAAGTCCAGAGGAGACCACAAAGTTGCTAAGAGGACTGGAGCATCTCCCCTGTGAGCACAGGCTGAGGAAGTTGGGACTGTTCAGCCTGGAGAAAAGAAGGTTGTGTGGAGACCTCGTAGTTATCAGTATCTGAAGGGCCTACAGGAGAGCTGGGACTCTGTTCTGTGTTAGGAACTGCAGTGATAAGGCAAGGGGTAAAGGCTTCAAATTGAAGGAGGGGAAGTTTAGGCTAGATATTAGGAAGAGGTTTTTCCCTGTGTGGGTGGTGAGACACTGTCCCAGGTTGCCCAGGGAGGCTGTGGCTGCCCCAACCCTGGCAGTGTTCACAGCCAGGCTGGATGAAGCCTTGAGCATCCTGGTCTGGTGGGAGGTGTCTCTGCCCAGGGCAGAGGTTGGGACTAGATTTTCTATAAATTCCATTCCAACCCCTAAAATTCTATGAGACTGTGGTTCTATGATTTATGTTAATAACTGGATTACTGAATTTTGTGAGTCAGCAAGCATATGTAAAAGGAAAAATTATATGCAGATATACATCAAGAAATGCGACTTCAAGTGTAATTATTTTTATAGTTGCCAGTGACACAGTAATTCTTGTATTACAGTTACGAAAGTAGATATGAGACCCACGAGTTCATTTATGTGTGAAACAAGAAGATTTTAAAAATTAATAATGTTCATTTATTTTCTTATTCTAAAATGCCTGGAGCTCTTTTGCTTCCTGTTTAATAGTTTTCAGGTTATTAATCAAATCTTTGTGTTTAACTAGCTTTCAGAATGTATTAATTAGATAGGTGACTTGCACCAAGTGGTAAGACTTGAACTTACCTTCTTTGGACTCTTGCCATGATTCCATTCAGATTATCCCCTGGGATGGTGCTGGTTTGAATTAATAAGTGAAGGGATGAAATCTATTAGCTGGATCACTAAGCAGCAGCTTAACCAGTTGTATTTCTGCTACCTTTAAGCAGGTACTTCATTGGTGCTGTGACATCACTCGAAACCTGGATGGGGTTTTAGGGTATTGTGTTTTAAAGAGTAAGAGTTTGCTGCCCTCGAGTGGTTAAAAGGATCATAGACCCATTTCTTCACACGGCTTGGATTAATAGTTTCTCACTAAAAAGTCCAGTTCTGGTGTGAGTTGAAAGCAGGAAGGAGAAGCAAATGGAGCAGGAAGTCAATTTTCCAGTAAGGAAGAAGATTCAGCATCATTCAGTTTTCCTCACTCCAGTTCCACATGATGTTTCAACATGCACAAATGCAAGATAATGGAGTGGAGGATCTCGATTTTGCATTACACAGCTGAGATCTTGAAAGATTAGTAAAAAGCTGCCTGTGCATTTTCTATTCTCCAGTGTTCCTGAAAGTACAAGGTCTGATCTGACGTACTAACAATAGAGTAATAACAGACTCATAGAATCATCAAGGTTGGAGGAGACCTCTAAGATCATCGAGTCCAACCATTAACCTGTCACTGCTGTAACCCCTAAACCCTAACCCATATCCTCCAGAGCCAGATCCAGACACCTCTTAAACACTTCCTGGGATGGTGACTCCACCACCTCCCTGGGATGTAATGCTACACAGACTTTGGAACTCTCTCACTTTTTCTAGTAGTGTAGTTGGGAAGTCTGTTTAAAGATTCAAGACTGTAAAAGGAAGAGTAAGGAGGAATGAATATAGCCGTAGGGACAGGTGAAAAGTGTCTTCTTAGTATGTACAGTAAGGGCCAAAGGGTCTCCTGGGTGCATCTCTCTGCCTTGTGCTTGCATTGTAGATGCTAATAGTACTTGAAATGAAAGAGCAGAGAAGTGGAAACAGGTGAGGGAAGGACAAAAATGAAGAATGGACACAGTGACAATAGAGGCTTAACTAAAATTTATCTATGAACCCTAAGGCTTTACAGTTTGAATGAATTCGAAGAAAATGGCCCACACTATTTTGCATTCTTTCTAATTAGAGCATTCAGTGGCAGGTGCTGGTGGGTGGTGAGTGTGTCTGCATGCTGTATGACCATTGGTGATAATCCTAAAATCCATTGTATAGCTCTTCTTCAGACTTTATCATTATTTTCAACCACAGTCATTGGAAGCCATTACAGATAAACATAATTTTTATCACTTCAGGCTGTGCCAGTAACACTTAATAAAAGTAGAATTTTGCAGTTTCATAGCAGGAATTTACCTTGTAGTTCAGCCTAAAATATGTGAAAGGATACGAGTCCACTTTTGAAACCTCAGCAGGTCTCTAGCTACTTAGGAATCAAAAGTATACTTTAGCTCCATTTTCTGAACACTCAGGATATTATGACACATGGGTTGTAGAGTTGAAATGGGAGGTGGAGGGAGGCACTCTTAAGTCTTGCTGAAACCTTCCCTGGGCTGAAGAAAACTGAAGATTCATTGAACTGAAAAGGAGGGCCTGCCTGTGGTGAAGGGCCTTGAGGGAAAGCCACATGAGGAGTGGCTCAGGTCACTTGGTCTGCTGAGCCTGGAGAAGAGGAGACTGAGGGGAGGCATCGTTGCTGTATGCAACTTCCTCACCAAGGGAAGTGGAGGGGCAGCACTGACCTCTTCTACCTGGTGACCAGTGACAGGATCCAGGGGAATGGCATGGAGCTGTGTCAGGTTTGGATATTAGGCAAATGTTCTTCCCCCAGAGGTGTTTGGGCACTGGAACAGCTCCCCAGGGCAGTGGGCACAGCCCCAGTCCTGACAGAGCTCAAGAGGCATTTGGACAATGCTCTCAGGCACAGGGTGTGATTCTCAGGGATGTCCTGTGCAGGGCCTGGAGTTGGACTTCATGATCCTTGTGGGTCCTTTCCAACTCTGCTTATTTTGTGATTCTGTGATTCACTATTCAGAATTCATGGCTGCTGGTCAACCTAGGGTATTTTTAATGATTCTGGATTCACTTTTTCTCTTGTAATAAATCGTGAGGAAAAGATATTTAAGTTTCACTGGATACAGTCAGTTTGCATCAATCTGATTTCAGTTCAGTTTCCTGTTGGGGATATATGTCTGGACTCTGTAGGATAACTTTTCATTTTGAAGCATGGCACCAACAGTGCCAGATGGATACTGCTTCTTGGAGCAAGGCTGAGCAATGGATTTGGAAATCTCCCCCTCCCATTAGTACCTTCTTGCCCTTACCTCCCACCATGCAGTCAAATTTTATTTTCAAATCCACTTTGACACATCATTCTGCTGGGAAGGATTCCAAGAAAAAATTACTTAACAGTTTCTTTGGCCTCCTTTAAAATCTTGCTCTATATTGCTCAAAAGAGGTAGGGAAATCTTAATCTGTTTATCAGCATGCATCTCTGAAATCCTTTGAGTTAATATGCACAAAGACTTTCCTTAAGAGATAAATGTAATAACTGTATTTAGTTCTTGTCTTTGCTTAGAGATGTTTAAAAGCCTCACAGTGATCTTTTGTTTGACCTTCAAACATGAGTTAGGTCCAGGGAGTGACCAGGGCTGATACCCATATTCCCTTACTCTTGAGAAACCCTATCCCTGTGAGAGAGGCTTTTGCTTTAAAATTCCTTTGGAATTTAGGGAAAAAAGGTACTGCATTATGTAGATGAACAAGGGATATGTAAAACAGGATAGTGTTGTCAATTTAAAACTAAGCAAATCTCCACACTGGATTGCAGTGTTTGTCAAACATACAAGGAATACTTGGCTATACTCATTTGTTCTGCTAATGTTTTAGCAGTACAGGCTACAGGATCTCCTTTTGTTCCCTTTTCCCCCCCTAGAAACTGAATGAGGTTCTTTTACTTCTGTGTTTGATTGTGTCCAGGTTTTAATGTCAGTCATATGAACCTCTTAGCAGTGTTAATCACTGTTTCTGACCAAACATTTGGACTCAGAGATTTAAAAGCCAAGTGATTGCATTTTCCAGGTGCAGGATACTGCACTCCTAAAAGTATTTTAAATTCAGATAGATGGATCTAAGCACATAGAGCTGTAGGGAGAAAAAAAAATCTTAATGAAAGGTTATTAAATATTATGATTTTACTGCATCAGCCTTGATGATTAGTGGATAGAATAAATGAAAAACCAACACCATCTACCTCAAACAAACAAAAAAACCCAAGCAAAACCAAACAACAAAGGAAAAAACCCTCCTGTGACTGCAAGGTTTATTTGGATTCTGCATAACATAGCTAAAAATATACTGAAGAGCCTTTTCTGGCAAGAGATTTTAAAACAAAAAAATCCATACGATGTAAATGCTTTACTGTAAGGTTTCTTTGAATTTATTTCCAGAGAAATGCAAGTTTTATTTAGACATGATTTTATAACAATTGTAAGAAAAACATGAACACCAAAAATAAACCCAGGATACTTCAAATTGTGATTCTTACCTAGCTGAAATAGTGATACAGTTATATAGTGCATACTTGGACTCGATGATCTTAGAATTCTCCTCCATCCTTGATGATTCTATGATTCCATGAAATAATATAAGGATACTACTATGTGTTGTTTATATCACTAAAATACTAAGTAATTATAAATATATAAATAAACATAGCCTACAGTATATAAAAATACAAATATATCTCTGCAACACATATATTTACCAAAGTACATTAAAAATTGAATACATTAAAATAGCAGGTTCTAACATTTTAAATGTTCTTTAAGCATTCTGTGAAGGCTCTGCTGGAGAAATGTTCAAATACAAAACCTATAAAGAATAAGCCAAATATTTACAGGCACTGGGATGATGTTTTCTCTCTGTGTTCAACTTTTGATCCTGTCTAATCTTGCAACACTAATTAGGTAAAAATGAGCACCTTGTGGATCGAGATTCTTTTGAGGAGCACTTTGTTTTGCAGGAAGAAGAAATCGATTAGTTGCTGGTGTTTTTCCTTATGAGTCCCAATGAAACCCTTCCCAAATGATGAAGGATTGCTGTCTTTTATTGCTGGTATGCACTGTCTCACTTGGCAGCTAATAGCCAACGTAGACATACCAAAGTCAGATGCTAGAGAGGTAACAGCTAGGTGGCTGCATCTCAAGCAGCTTCTACAGCTTTAGGGTGATATAAAATTGGTACTTCTGCAAGGATTTTTGTTACTCACTATATACAGTCCATAAGCTTTTCTTCCCAGTCTGACTTGCCTTATCAAAGAACTTAGTGAGAGGAAAGAAAACTCTTCCTGCTCGTACAGGCACCTTTTGAACTCTGAACTTTTTGCTCTTTAGAGGAGGAAATACCTGCCACAATGCACATAATTTTTAAAGGGAATTGGTATGAGAGATGCATTTCTTCAAATTACTCTAGTTTTCTTTCAGTCTTGTAGTAGTTTTTAAGACAGTGTCTATTTTCTTCCAGAAAACAGAGATGTGGGAGAGTGAGAAGACTGAGGAGGACATGGAGGAGTATATTTGGGAAAAGAGTTGCTCTCAGAAAAATGCCTTGGATACACTCCGTCGAATAAAAGCCTCAGAGAATGTCAGTGATGTGTCTGAGGAAGAGCTGCTTTCATCTGAAGTGGTTAAGAATTACAGGAACTCTGTAATTGCACTTAAAAATGAAGGTGAAACAGAAAGTAACATGTCTCAGTATAAGGAATCCGTGAAGAAACTACTGAATATACAAGCATTGCCATAAGAGCAGAGTCTGCAGGCACACCTGATGATTACAGAAATGACTAAATTACTATCTTGATATTTCTAAATGAGATGGATATGTAATTATTCAGAACCTTAACCAAAAATAGGAAACTTGATGAGTTAATCGCAGTAGGAATCAGTTTTCTCTTTATTGCTTGATTGTTTTTGTAAGCACAGTTGTCCTGTTCATGAATCTTGTTCTTTGAATAAAGTATGTTTGGATTCATATTGGGAACTTGAACATTTTATTCTGTGTTTTCTTAGCATGGAAGATCCTAGTTCAGTTCTCTGCTTCATCACATTCTAATTTGTCACACAACTTCTTCTGGCATATAACTTAAGAGCAACAATGTCAAAACCAATGACTTAGACTCCCAGTTCCATTAACTAGAAGTCTGAAAGTTAAGAGCTCTAAACTTTCTAAATGCTTTTCAAATGTCACTCAGATTTTTATCTATGCTCCCTGTCTGTAAAGTAAATATTTTTCTTGGAGAGGTGCTGAAGCACACTGGACAGTGTGAGGTTCTCAGCTGTCACTATGAGGACTAACAAATACCCTAAGTAAGAGTACCTGTCTCTATAACAATGGAATAAAATAAGGTGGGAAATGGGATGGTAGGGGGAAGGTCAACTAGCAGTTCATGGGAAAGGAAGAATGCTGAGAGTTGCTGAAAGTGAGAGCTGATTAGTATACAGCCAAATAGGAATGGACTGAGTCTTGGTGCCTTGAGCCCTGCTGAGTTCTCTCTTGAATGTACCCAGGCTTTTCAAGGGACAAGCCCCAAACATTTGCAGCATTCATCATGCTGCTGTGCAGCACAGAGAAAGAAATTACATCAATGTTTGCCTTATATGTGGTAATTTGTATTTGAAAGGAATATACTTCAAACACTGGAAACACAGGCAACTTTTACTGCCTTCTCACAGTTAAGAGGAAAAAAAACCAACCACGACCTTAAAAATAGCACCTTGAAAGGACATAAATAACTCTTCTTGCTTTTATTGTCCCTTCCTGGCTTACTAAGATTTCAGCTGAGAGAGAAAGTCTTTCTCTGGAAGGAGCAGAGGGAGTTAAGGATCCTGCATACCTATAAAAGAACCTGCCAGCAGCTCGTTGAGAGGAAACAGTGTAAGAATAAGGACACTGAAGACTGAAGAGAATTGATTTCTGCAAAGTGCTCTACGTGACTTGACTCACTAGCTGCTTGGATTTCTCATTTTGAGGTTTGTGTTTACATACATTCAAAGAGGATACGTATTCCCACTTCCAAAACATTGTCAGGTTTGGAAGGATTCCTCTTAGGTCAAGATTGTTTTCGTATGGTGAGAGACTGAGTTTAGTGCAGCTTTTTACTTCCTATGAGAATTTATCAGAGCTGTAGTTAAGGCTGCAAATGCTTGTCCTGTAATCCCAATTTTTCACTTACTGACTTGTCTATGTAGTGCTTCTCCCTTTTAGATTTGTATTGATGTGAAGTTTTAGCAGTAGCTTAATCTGGGGAAAGTTTCAGCTGTTATCAGGTTGTTCCTTTAATCAGGGATAATGAGAGTTATGTTTCAAATTCTCATTTGAAATAGTACATCTGTGTAATTCCAAATCTTTGCTGAATAGCCATGAAACCAAAATTACTGAGGAATTAACTGCAGTTTGACTCAGAGAATGGTATGGATGGGGCCTTGAGTTGTGCCTGGCTTTATTCCAAAGGCAGTTTGGTTCTAGTATGTACACAAGAGAAATTTGTTTCCTTAATTAGCTTTGTCAGTGCTTGCATAAGGAGTGGTATACGAGCAAGCATATGCTCCTAACTCTTTTGCAGTGGCCTGTCTTGTACAAGGCTGGCAGAGTAATGTCCTTAAATATTTTAAGGAACTCAGAACTCCATAAGCTTCCTTTTCTTCATAAAGTTGTCCTTAGGAACTTGGGACATATGAGCACCTGATAAAACCCTCTCTGCAACAGAGAACAACTCAGTTTTCCTTTGCTCTTCCTAGACTTTGAATGGACCTAAGCAGAACTCTGGAAGTTGTAGTTAAAATAACAACTTGACCTTACTAACAATAAGTCTGGTAGGAAGAAGAGCACAGCAAGGGAAACTCATTTGTCATTTGATTAAATTAGCATTTCATTAGCTTCACAGCTAATTCATAGAAAACCTAAAATGAACAGGCTCCTACAGCTCCCTCTGAAGTGTTCAAGGGTAGCTTATGTACATTCTGTAAATGTTCCAGGAAATGCAGGCAGGATAAAAGGTGGCTGTCTCCTGAGTGCCAGGACAGTCAAGTCTCTTAGCCAGCAATAGATGATTCCTACTGGCAAAAAACAATGTTGGGAATAATTCCATGTGTTCCCTAACCACATCCAACACTTATTATAGAATCAGAATTTAAGGGTTGGAATAGACCTTACAGATCACCTAGTCCCAAATCCCTGCCCTGGGCAGAGACATCTCCCACTAGGTCAGGTTGCTCAAGGCTCATCCAGCCTGGCTTTGAACACTGGGTCGGGGCATCCACCACATCCCTGGGCAGCCTGTGCCAGTGTCTCACCACTCTTACAGAAAAAAATAATTTTCTAATATCTAACCTAAACTTCCCCTCCTTCAATTTGAACCCATTACCGCTTGTCCTATCACTGCAGCTCCTAACACAGAGTCCCTCTGTATCTTCCTTGTAGGCCCTTCAGATGTTGAAAAGTTACTATGAGGTCTCCATGTGAAAATCATCAGAATTTAAATGGCAAGGATACTAGTTTTCCAGCCATCTCTGGCTTAGTGACCCTGTAGCTACAGAACACTCTGGCCTTAGAAACCTGCAACCTTGGTTTTCACTTCCTCTCCCTGTTAAGAAACCTGTGAGCAAAGTCAGAAACCTTTATAATTCTGTAAGTGTCCAAAGAAGCTTCTTGAATCAAAAGCAATGTAAAACTCAGACTTACACTTGTGATTTTTACTAATGGTTTATGTTACAGTGCCAAACTTGTGTAATGCAGTGGACTGGATCAAACCTGCCTGGAGACTATTTTGAGCTCTTTGTCATCGTGGATGTTTCTCTCCAGGTTTCTGCTTCTCCCTCTCAACTGTTTGTGTTTGAAGGTGACAGTTTTCTCTGTGATTATGCAGAATACCTAGGACTTTGGGATCTTAACTCCAGTGGAAGTCTTCACATCCTCAGTGATGTATGATACAGCATATGTTTTTATGAAATAAATTACACTGTCCTGTGTAATGCTCTTGCATCTATCTCTGGAAACCTGTGCTGAAGTGTGAAAATGGTGAAGAGATTAAAGCAACTCTGCAGCACAATAATAAATACATCCTTAGCAATGGTCACTTCCTAATGTCTCATGTCCATCCTGATGTAAATGAATGACAGGCTCCCCAGGGCAGTGGTCACAGCCCTGAGCCTGACAGAGTTCAAGAGGCCTTTGGACAATGCTCTCAGGCACAGGGTGTGATTCTCAAGGATGTCCTGTGCAGGGTCTGGAGTTGGACTAGATGATCCTCAAAGGTCCCTTTCAACTCTGATTAATCTGTGATCTGTGTGATTCTATTTGCTTTCATGCATCACACTGGCTGTTTATCCATTTGATAGCAAGTAGACAGGCAGAAAGGTAACTAGCTGGATTTTTCATCTGCTTTTGACATGTGGTTTTCTTGCTTATATTATTTATTTAAATTATGGGGAGAAAAAACAATCTAAAAAGCACTTTGATTACAGATTGATGTGACAATGCTGGCTGGAGTGTTTTGTGGGGAAATCCTATGACAAAATGTGCTTGTCATCAGGACTGAGTGAGATGAAAAGTACCACAACTTGACTTGCAGCATGTGGTTAATCAGCTTCTTTAATGTATTTGATCAGGTGGTCATGATCTGTGAAGCATTTGGATGTTATCTGTGGTAGAGGTCAAAACATGAACTTTGCAAAGCTTTAATTTCTTGGTTAAGACTTTGTAAGTGGAGGTATGTCCACTGATCTCATTAACAGAAGTGTGGTTTACTGACCTTTGCCTTCAGAATTTGAGAGGGAATGGTTGGTAGAGCACTGCACAAAGAAAATTCTGGACCACAGGCTCTGCAGCTCGTAGCCTAAAAAGGCCATAATGGTGGTCTCAGTGCACATCACCATTTCCAGTGTAAGTTGTGGAGAAAGGAGATAAAGTACATCACAGTCATTTACAGCCTGAGGACCTGAGTTCCTCCTCTGGTACACCAGTGCCTTTGTTTCCTAAGGAAATGAGTCAGACCTGAGACTTTTACATTTTGTGGTCAGATCCATGAAGATTATCCTAAAATGATGATATACTTTATTTACAACATCACCACATTCATCCTTTGATACAACAGAGTATCTTCGTTCCTTTCTTCTAGTTCTTTTCCTTTTTTTGGTATTAAAAAACTGGAAAATAATACCTGTCAACTTCTCTAACTCAGAAGGGCCCTTGGGGTCTCATCATTCTTAGCTGAAATTTTTAGTGCTAGTTAAACTTTGTGCTATATTTAGCCACATAATGGATTAGGAAAGTACAATTTGATGATGAAAGCCTGTTCAAATTTATAGTACATCATGCAGTGGGCACATCTCTAGAGTTTATATCACTTTACACTTAAGCACAAAACTGCCCTTAAAAACAAATTATACCTAATTCTGATTTTTCTAGCTAAAATAGAAGGAATGTCTTTGTGTTATACCCTTTAAAAATGTTCTCATCCTGTGTTAGTCTCTCTTCTATTACATATAAATTAGCTTATGAGGTCAATCAAATACTATAAACAAGGGGTTTGTTTAAATTCCAGGTTTCCAAGCTCCAATGCCAAACCATGTGGACTACAATATCATTTTAGAGAGGTCTTTTCCTCTGAAATGAGCCTGCTCAATTGGAATTAGGCATTCATGTGGCATCACAACCTCATTAGTGTAGTCTTTGAACACTGCATGAGTCTTCCTAGTTAAATAACTTTCTGCCACATAGATGTGCCAGTACATACAGCTGCAGGGAATTTGCTCTCTGAAGTTGGGGAAAGTGGAAAACACTGTTTGGTAGACCTCACTTGGCATCAGATTATGAACCAAAATGTGCTCAAACACCTTTGAGCATGCAGTAGGAGCTATGAGTATGTATTTCTTATGTAAAGGGACACCAATTGTGTTTCATGTGTCCAGAATTAAATTATAACCAAAATATTCTTCAAGAAATAATCACTGGTTCTGTAAAAGAAATCAGCTGGTATATATGATGCATTTTTACAAACCTATTTGTTCCACAGCGAGGATGGTGACCCTGTTTTACACACTGCCTTTGACAGCAGTGTATTTTATGAATTGTCTTGACACTGTTGCTCTCCTCCTTACGGGCTTATACTGACCTCTCCTGTTGCTGCAGTGCCCAGCTGTGAGAGCAACAGTGCAACAGCAGAGGCAGAGGAGGGAAGAGCAAAGAACAACAGGAATCAACCAGACACCCAAAGCTGCAGCTTCCCAAGCAGGTGCCTCATTTTCTGAAGTAGAATTCCTACCACTGTAGCCTTTGGTTTCATTGAAGTGTTGCTTACTGCTGTTCAGATGAGGAGGACTGGGCATGTGGGATAATACCTTGGCAGACTTAGATATCAAAGTTGAGTGTATCGTCTTGTCTGAGCTGGTGATTGACCTGGTGCTTATCGAAGTTGTTCTTGTCCTCTTAGCAAGATGATCATCTGTTGGAAAAGTTTCTAGCCTGGAATAAGTAGTAATTTCAGTTTTTTGGACCATGAGGCTTGTGCTGGAGGTATAAGGGTTTGCTATTAAGCCATGGCTCGGGGTAGAAGCTGGTGCCTGGAGCAGAAGAGAACTTGTTGTCGCATTGTGATGTTGGCATCTTTCCCACTTGGTGGTCTTTGTGCTGGTTTGCTTTACATATTTACTCGGTGAGGGGTGAGTATTTGGTTCTTTGGATGTCAGTTTCTCAAAAATGAGAAGATCTGGATCAATCCCTATGAAATCATAATAATGTTAGTTGGTGCCATAAAAGCTTGTCTGCACACCCACAAAAGGAGTACACAGAGACCACAGCGGTCAGAGAGCCCAAATAATCCCCACCAGCACCTTTTGGACTGGAGGTGGCACAGGCTAGGATTATGGGACACCTTACAGGATTGCACAGGATTTACCATGGGATGCTTAGGAAAGGAACCAAAGGTTCCTCACCAAGGTGAGGAAAGGGTGGGACCTAGGTTACTGGGGGTAGGG